AGAAGAAAAGGCCCTACACAAATCCAGAGTGGAGTCCCTAAGACCATTGGATAGTGCCTTGCATGTTTCCTTCCAACAATTCCTGCAGCCATGCAGCCATTAAGTACATGGTATGTATACATCTCAAGTTTACCAAATTGGGAAAGACCAGGACCAACTTAAGGCACAGAGCATTGCCAGAAAGGGGTGGCATATTCAGATAGAAGTTCAAGAAGAAACAGAAGGTTCTGGTTAGAGAGGGAGCTGGTGTAACATAGTGGTTAACCTAAAATTCAAGTTGGAACCTTGTCTCTGCCATCAACTCCACAGATGTCTGTCCCCTCAGTCTCACCTACTGTACCTGCAAAACTGGGATAATAGTACTGCAAGGGTTGTTGTAAAGGTTATGACAAAGTAACGCTTTGCTTTGCACACTCAAAAGTGTTATAGAAACACAAAACATTTTTTATTATTCAGACAGGCATTTAGATATGACAGCTCTTGCCTCAATGCTAGGATCTGAACTAAATTGACAGTCAGGCCCTTTTCTACGACAATAAATTAACTAGAGAAGGAAACTGCATGTCATTATTCTTTGTGCTTATTCAGCAATAAGGGTAGTCGAGTTCTATTATAAACTGTGACAGCAGTTTATAAAGACAACCAATGAGGCACAAAGGTATTTTATCCTACACTCAGTCGTCAGCCAAATATCTCATTCAGCTCTTGCCAGGCTACAGCAGAATGCCAATTAGTGTTAATTGAAACTGTATTGACAATGCTGACATATAAGTCACAAAGAATGGCTCGGCCCTTGGAGAGCAGAGGAAACTTGCCAGCGGATCCATGGTATTTACTTGCAAACTGAGCAGACTCTATAAAGACTGCAATAAACAGACAACGGAGTGAAAAGCAGGCAGCTGTTGTTATTTCAAAGTTAGCTTGCAATTTGGAAACAGGATGGGGGGGGAGGTGAGAAAGGAAGATTTCTAATTTTTTAGCTATGCTAGTTTCAGTATAAGTACAGATGCAGTCAAAACAGATGTTATTTTTGTTTGCTACAGCTAAAATCCATAATCATTCCATCTCAGCTGAGTGTAACCAATATCGTTTCTAACTCGGGTGAAACACAATGAAATCTATAGAAACTAAGTCTCTAAACCAAATCTCCTACTGGCAAAGTATTATAAATAAAGAGCTTAGCCTCTCTGGGCTTTAATCAGATTTTACACCAGTCCTTTTCATCCTAAATTCTTGGAAAGTCAATAAGAACACTCCATTTCTAACATTAAACAGGAACAAGGGAGTTGCATACATTTCCTCTGGCTGCAATTCCAATGTGTTTCAGTTCCCCATGGGGAAATCTTGCATGACTGGGTCAGAACACTCGGATTAGCCCATCAGTGCCCTTGGTAGCCAGCCAAAAATTATAGTTGCCAGTGGGAGGAAGTTGCTTGTTTTCAGGTGGTGCGTTAGTATGTTTTGATTCGATCGGGGAAACCTGGGTTGCAGCCCTGTTCCATTTTTTGTTTGTTTGCTTGTTTTAATTTTTAATCACCTTCATCCCATAGGATTCCAGGTCATCCAGATAAAGTCTTCGAATAAAACACAACATGCAATCGTGCAATTATTAAAATATTTTTTTAATAAACCCTTCAATAATGTATTGAAATTTCAGCCATAACAATTACAGCACAGCAGCAGACAGAAGACTAAATTGGGCTTCACACATCCTTGACCTCTCAAAGGCCCAGTGGAAAACGTATGCCTTCAATTGACACAGAGAATCTGGCAGGAAAAGAGACGGCTTGTCGACAGCACAAACGGGGCTGGCAGATATTGGAAGAGACACTCCTGGCTCAGTCCTGCTCAGAATTAGCTGGGCAGCAGTTCCATTGAACTCAGAGGTGCTTTCTTCTGACTGCAGAGGATGGATTAACTCATAACACACTTTGAACTTTAACAAAAGATCTTCAGCCTGCTTTAGCTTTTTAATGACAAATGCAGTAGTCACGAAATTAAAAGACTCCTGCTTATTGGAAGAAAAGCAATGACAAACAGCATCTTAAAAAGCAGAGACATCACCTTGCTGACAAAGACCCATATAGTTAAAGCTATGGTTTTCCCAGTAGTGATGTATGGAAGTGAGAGCTGGACCATAAAGAAGGCTGATCGCCGAAGAATTGATGCTTTTGAATTATGGTGCTGGAGGAGACTCTTGAGAGTCCCATGGACTGCAAGAAGATCAAACGCATCCATTCTTAAGGAAATCAGACCTGAGTGCTCACTGGAAGGACAGATCGTGAAGCTGAGGCTCCAATACTTTGGCCATCTCATGAGAAGAGAAGACTCCCTGGAAAAGACCCCGATGTTGGGAAAGATGGAGGGCACAAGGAGAAGGGGACGACAGAGGATGAGATGGTTGGACAGTGTTGTCGAAGCTACCAACATGAGTTTGGCCAAGCTGCGGGAGACAGTGGAGGACCAGAGTGCCTGGCGTGCTCTGGTGCATGGGGTCACGAGGAGTCGGACACGACTAAACAACAACAACTACTTAGAATCATAGAACTGGAGAGCTGGAAGTGGCCACAGGGGTCATCTAGTCCAACCCCCTGCAATGCAGAAATCTTTTGCCCAATGTGGGGCTCAAGCCCACAACCCCCTGAGATTAAGATTCTCATGCTCTACTAGCTGAGCTATCTTGTGCCTGAGATAGCAACCCTGTGAAAGGAAAGAAGCATCCAGCCTCTCTTTGTGTATCCATTCCATCACAAACCATAGCAAAACGTGAAAGCCTTGCTATCACCTCATTCACTTGCCACACCAACGAGGGTCTGCCAACACCCTGGCATGCCAGCAGTTGATATTATCGCTCCTGCTCTAGAGGGGAGAGTATTGGAGCTGTTTCAATTCCCCTTCCTAATCCACTATACTACTGGTACAAGGCCTGGCGCAATCCCCTCACTTTCTTCCAGGAAGAAGTGAAGGGCTGGAGTTTGTGCAATGAAGTGCTTTCAAGGCAATTTAGAACAGGGGAAGAGAGGTTCAACATGGTGGTCAGGTTTGTAGGTCCCTGGGACTGTACCATTCTGAGTGGAAGAGACAGTTTCACTGCTGCATAAAGGCTCTGGGTGATATTCAACTATGTTTTACTCAATGGTAGGCCCATTAAAATCAATAAGCCCAACTAAGCTAGGTCCATTCATTTCAGTAGGTCTGAGTGGAACCTAACTGAACATCAGCCACGTACTTTCCCCCCGCAAAGCCCTAGTGCAAGTTCTTAGCAAAGGTGGCAGGAGGGTCTGCAGAATCCAGTTAGAATGAGGAGAATCTACTGTCTAGAGAAAGCTGGTAAAAGTGGTGCTGTGATACTTCCTTTTTTAAAAAGATTGACAGCCTGCCTGAAGCAGAAGGGGGACTGAAGGGGCCAAGGCTGATGGCAGAACCAGTATCCAATGTGAGGTATATCTGTCTGTGTGATGTGCAGATTAAGAACCCGCAGTGGCGCCTCTCTCTCTCTCTCTCTCTCTCTCTCTCTCTCTCTCTCTCTCTCTGCATTATCTTATCTTCACCCTGTTCTACCTCTCCCTTTTATCTCCCAGTCCTTACCTATAGCATGTTCTTGCCACTTCAGAGGCCAAGGGAGTACACTTTACTTGTGCGCTGTGCCCTTAGCAGTTGGCATCCTATAAATTTCTCTCGGGCAGCAAGATTAATTGCACAACTATGATGTAAGCTGGCAAAAAGTCATTCGTTGCGTTATTTCCAGCCCAAGTTGAAGAGCAGTAAGATTAAAAAACCAAAGCGAAAACCCTCAGAGCCAGTTGTAATTCAACCCCTTTGAGGGTTGGCATTGCCAAGGGACAAGAAGGAGTGAGCAGATCGCTACAAGTAAATACAGGACAATAAGAAATGATGGATGATGTGGCCCAAGCCCTACACTACCCAACTCTCCCCTGAAAATTACCTTCTGCTGGCAACAACCAGGCAGAATTGGACTTAAGATGTAAATAACTTTTGCTGGATTGTAACTAACAGTTTGCTTAAGATGTAACCAACAGTTTGCAGCTTTCAAAATCAACTGGACTTAAAAGATAGTCAAGGCTAAGGGCTTATCCACAGTTTGTCTTGTCCTGCTGCTTTCCCCTGGAGAAAGTCACTCTTTAGTGCTCAATCAGACCAAACAGCAACTTGGGTTTCTCCCCGGATTGGCATTTGTTCCGATATATCGCTAAAGAGTGGGTTCTTCCTTGGAAAGGAAGCAGGGCAAGGGGGAAACTGCTTGGACCCCTGCTTTCTATGCACAACAAATGCAGAGTGTGGATGAGCACTAAGGTTGCATACACACTCCTGGTTATTCTGCATTCAGTGAACTCCCACCACTGGTTTGGAAAGCAGTGCACACCTGACATCAGCCACAATCCCTATCTGCCCTGTTGCTCCTTATGAAATACTGCATTATGATGGGCTTGCTCAGCTTCAATCAATATATAGAAAAAGGAAAACCTTGCTGTGTTCTGAGCTGGCGATGTGTACACAGCCCAAGTCCTATGCCGTTGTTTTAAACTGGACTCAGGTCGCAACTAACTTTTCCAACTTTGGGCTCTCACAGTTGGCAGCTTGTGCTGAACTCTGAATCACAGGTTTTCCAAAAGGAGGAGAAACCACCACAGCCAAACCCTTCTTGGGTACAGCTGAAAAAAGAAAGAAGGATATACCCTTCTTAGAAAAAGAAATATAAGCTGCTCAATAGGACATGGGTCAAAATGACCGATCTAATGATGCCAGATCTACACAAATTGTGACCCACCAAGCTGACCACTAACTACTAAGTATCGTTACTTAATATAACTTTCTGTTTTGCTGCCTGTCTGGGATTGCAAAAGTGAGGAGCATTCACAATATATATGCTCACCACTTAAAAATATGTAGGGTTAAGCAGTCCATATTCAAACATGCAACCACCTTATGAGATCCTTCGCATCTAGACAGAGCTCGCTAAAGCAGGGCACATTTCTCACCATGCTGTATAATTCCGTGCTCCAGTAGCCTGCGACCAAGTTGTTCAGCATCAGACCTTGTGGTGGCCTCCCCTTCCTGGATCAACCAGTCAATCAGCTGAGATGCCATAAAAGTGCGTTCATATTTTATTCCTTCCTCTTCCCTGGCTTGTAAAAGTGCATTTTCGGTATTCATCAGCCTGCAACGAAAGAAGGGAGGGAGAGGAAACGTGAGCACATGAAGGTTAAACTGCAGAAATGTTTTCTAATTCCACCTTTGTCCAGGTTTACCCAAGGATGGAGCAAGGTCATTGCAAGTAACGCAAGTGGTTGCTTCCAGTTGGGACCATTTAAGAAAGGAGTACAGCTTCCGGGTCATGTGGCCAGCATGACTAAGCTGCTTCTGGCAAACCAGAGCAGTGCACGGAAACACTGTTTACCTTCCTGCCAGAGTGGTACCTATTTATCTACTTGCACTTTGACATGCTTTCAAACTGCTAGGTAGGCAGGAGCAGGGACCGAGCAACGGGAGTTCACCCCATCGCGGGGATTCGAACCGCCGACCTTCTGATTGGCAAGTCCTAGGTTCTGTGGTTTAACCCACAGTGCCACCCGTGCACTGCTCTGGTTTGCCAGAAGCGGCTTAGTCATGCTGGCCACATGACCCGGAAGCTGTATGCCGGCTCCCTCGGCCAATAAAGCGAGATGAGCGCCGCAACCCCAGAGTTGGTCACGACTGGACCTAATGGTCAGGGGTCCCTTTAAATTTTTACACATAGATCAGAGGTTGAGGACATGCTTTGTATGCTAAAGGTCGTGCATACAATCAACAGCATCTGAGCAGACTGAGCCATATAGTAATGAAACAAGGATGTTTTTGTCCAAACACAGCTCCCAGTTCTTCCCTGTAAGGGCCCCTCATCATCCATACCAAAGCATCTATCTGCTATGCATTCGAAAGCTTCCAGGATCAATCCCCAGAATCTCCCTGTAGGGCTAGTGCTCTGCAAGATTCATACAGGTGGTCTGCGGCATGTTGGTGGTGGAAGACATGAGGCAGCACATCCATCACATTAAACAGTCAATCTCTAACTGTATTGCTACAAAAAATTCCTTCCAGTAGCACCTTAAAGACCAACTAAGTTAGTTCTTGGTATGAGCTTTCGTGTGCATGCACACTTCTTCAGATACACTGAAACAGAAGTTGCCAGATCCTTCTATATAGTGAGAAGGTGGGGAGGGGTATTACTCAGAAGGGTGGTGGGAATGAGTAATACCCCTCCCCACCTTCTCACTATATAGAAGGATCTGGCAACTTCTGTTTCAGTGTATCTGAAGAAGTGTGCATGCACACGAAAGCTCATACCAAGAACTAACTTAGTTGGTCTTTAAGGTGCTACTGGAAGGAATTTTTTGACTATGGCAGACCAACACGGCTACCTATCTGTAACTGTATTGCTACAGGCTCCTTAAAAACGTTCCTCTTAACTGCCTTGCAGGTTTGATAAATCAGGCTTATCTACCCAACTTCCTTATGAAATATATGACCAGGAACTTAGTGGAGAAAGCTTGCAACATATTAATTCCACAGTGAAAGCTAAAATTAGACCTATGTCGGTTGTTTCAGTGGGGAGTGGAAACTGACGGTTGCTAACCAAGGAATAGGTCAATGAACTCATCCGAAACTTCGTGTTACGTGAACTGTAGAATAAGTTCACTTGTTCCTTCTCCTGAGTTCTTCTCTTACTGGCCTATAACGTGAAATAACAGCCTTGCACCATTCGCACTTGATGATTTTCCAGATTCCTTTCAGGTTCACTAATGGCTAAACAGAAGTACTTCTTCTGTTTGTGAAATGGGCGAAATCCTGTGAATGGAACCAGCTCTGCTGTAGGCATCTTTATAATTCTAATGCTACCAAGAGGGACACGGGTGGCGCTGTGGGTTAAACCACAGAGCCTAGGACTTGCTGATCAGAAGGTTGGCGGTTCGAATCCCCACAACGGGGTGAGCTCCCGTTGCTCGGTCCCTGCTCCTGCCAACCTAGCAGTTCGAAAGCACGTCAAAGTGCAAGTAGATAAATAGGTACCGCTCCGGTGAGAAGGTAAACGGCGTTTCTGTGCGCTGCTCTGGTTTGCCAGAAGCAGGTTAGTCATGCTGGCCACATGACCCTGAAGCTGTACGCCGGCTCCCTCGGCCGATAAAGCGAGATGAGCACTGCAACCCCAGAATTGTCCGCGACTAGACCTAATGGTCAGGGGTCCCTTTACCTTTACCTAATGGTACCTAGTGTTTTTATTTTAATATAATTTATCAGGAGAAAACAAAGCTTGAGCTAAAATACTTCCACAACAGCATCAATAAAAAGCGAATCAGATGCAATAATTATTTGAAAGCCCCTTTCCGTTCAAATGCAAGACGTTAGTTCTTGACTGCTGATACAGAATAATAGAAATGGTACGGACAACATTTTAGAGATGATACCTTCGATCACATCCTGTTCTCTCTAAAGCCAATAAACATTAAGCTAAGGCTTTTTCTAAGCAGCTCTTATCCCAGTTTTGTAGACTCTGAGTGGGAATTCTTTGTTAATAGTTCTTTGAGGAGTCTATAAATAACATGCCCGGCTGCTTGGTGTGGCCTGGAAGAACAAAAGAGATGCTAATGGCTGCAATGGACAGGCACATGAAAGGAATCTGGAAAACTGCCAAGTGGGGATGGTTGGTGGCAGCAGGGACCTCGCAGGACTTCCACATCAGGAATCCAGAAGAGATCAGCTAAAGAGCAGGAAGGACGGAACAAAGACTCTGGAACCCCAGACCTGTGCTGGTTTTATGCCACTTTAACCACCATGACGTCTTCTGAAAAATTGTTTATGGGCTTGCTGGACAACTGCCACTTGCAGAAAACTTGCCAGACAACTTCAAATGACAATAATGGATTGGCATAACAAGCTACAAGAATTTGCTGAAATGGCGCAGTTGACAAACAGCCTGAGAGGCAATTCAAAACAAAAATTTATGGAAATGTGGGGTAGATATAAGATATATGTTCAAAAATATAGTAAAGGTTTGCTATCTATGCTAGCATTCGATTGATGTTGGAGAGAGACTGAGTTGAGAAATAAGACCAAGGGTACATATTGATATAGGAATGTATGAGATAAAATGTAAAGAAATATACAATAATAAGAGTACATTCATTTGTAAAAAAGGAATATACAACGGGATAGACAGGAAGTCCAAAGTGTTGGTACATATACAATTTTGGAATAGTTTTTTGTCCTTGTTTCTTTTCTTTAGGTATATAAACTTTGTATACATGCTGAAAATTATACTATAATAAGCCTTGTGATGTAATATGATAATGTTTACCGATGTAACATAAGAAGGTTAATAAATAAATAAAACTCAAAACAAAACAAATGAAATGGGAACGAAGCTGTTTAAGAGCTCGTGCACAATTTTGGCTTGTCCCAAACCTAGAAAGACAGGTCTGGGAGGTTTCCCGCTTGCCCCATGCTTTCTAGGCATGGATCCGAATGGTTTTTTGGCTGCTTTCCCCAGGAAAACCTGTCTACCACCGAATCAGAATGAACATCCAACTGCAGAAAAAAACTGTTGTTCTGATTCAGCCGTAAACAGTGGCTTTTCCGGGGGGGGGGGAGTAGCAGAACAAGTGGAAGTGTGTGCGAATGCAGTGGGGATTTACCCTAACAATCCTGACCGCTATACATATAAGTAGGGCATGAATTTTGAGAGATCAGATAAGGCATATCCCCAGAGGACACTTCTGCAGTCATGTCTGTTGTGAAGAAGAAGAAGAGGAGGAGGAGGAGGAGGAGGAGGAGGAGGAGGAGGAGTTTGGATTTGATATCCCACTTTATCACTACCCAAAGGAGTCTCAAAGTGGCTAACATTCCCTCCTTTCCCTTCCTCCCCCACAACAAACACTCTGTGAGGCGAGTGGGGCTGAGAGACTTCAGAGAAGTGTGACTAGCCCAAGGTCACCCAGCAGCTGCATGTGGAGGAGCGAGGAATCAAACCCGGTTCACCAGATTACGAGTCTACCGCTCTTAACCACTACACCACACTGGCTCTCCACAGACCTGTGCTCCACGGACCTGTGCAAGATCATCAATGAAATGCCAAAGTTGGTGACAAGGAATAGCTTTGAGCCAGTTGTGTTGCAACACTAGAGATGCGTATCAAAACGAACCTGATAAACCCCAGACATGAAAATATTCTTTTCTCATATCAGTGTAATAGTTAAATCACCATACACACGGGGCAGAAATCTTCAGTGAGCCAGTTTATACAGGCACTAGAACCAAACATTCCTGTGGACTGCACCAGTTGCAGCTGTATGTAGTGGCGGCAGCATATTTCAAAAAATCAGAGAATTGTTGAGTTGGAAGGGACCCAAAGGGTCTTTTAGTCCATATTTGAATGGACATAGCAGTTGGTCTCTATCAGTTCTTAGTACCTAGAGTCATATGAATTTGTTCAACGAAGAAGGTTTTGTTCAAAATCTATGGAAATTCATTATAGGCTAGGAATCCACATATACAGTACATTAAAAAAAATCTCAGTTGCAGCATTCGAGGAACTTCAGTAATAGTTGCAAGGTAGATATAAGAAATTAGATATATTAAGAAAAGGTTTAATTGTGATAAAAGTGAGTATTGGCAATAAGTAATATGAAATCGAAATATGGAATAGATGGGAGGTTGGGTCTTTAGTGTTAAGACCAATATATGTTTTATTGTTTGCTAAGAAAATTATGTGTCTATGGTTATTCCTGTGTGTAATTTGGTATTTGTGGTTTTTTCTTTTTTCTTGCTGTATCAATAAAAATCTTAAAAAATAAATAAATCTCAGCAATGAAATGCAAAACTGAAGATGGTACTTATGCGATCTCTCGTGATATAAAATTGCTGATTTCATGCCCATTTGAGTGGAAACAGTAGGATACTGGATTATACACTAATCCTGGAAGTTTAATATAAAAAACATGTGTATATGCATTGCTAGAAAGATTACAGCAGAAAGAATAAATAATTGATCTGAAACTGAACCTCAGAAATGTCTGAGGTTATTTTTCGGGAGAAAAACCCCATCCTCCCTTCCAATAAAAATATAAGTTCTCTTTTTTTGGGGATTGCGTCTTATTAACTTTCAGTCTATGGGATGCAATGGAA